GCCGTGTCCTACTCGTCCGTGCTCCGTCCCCAGGTCGCCGTCGCCCAGCCGGCCTACGCCGCCTACGCGCCGCAGGCCCTGGCCGTGGCCGCGCCTGTCGTGCAGAAGGTGGTCGCCCCCTACGCCCAGCAGGCCGTCGCGGTGGCGGCTCCCGTCGTGCAAAAGGTGCTGGCGCCCGAGCCGTACGACCCCAACCCGCAGTACCAGTTCTCGTACGGCGTGCAAGACGCGCACACGGGTGACGTTAAGTCCCAGGTGGAGTCGCGCAGCGGGGACGTGGTGAAGGGCCAGTACTCGCTCATCGAGGCTGACGGCACACGCCGGGTCGTGGACTACGTCGCCGACCCCGTGAACGGCTTCAACGCCGTGGTGCGCCGCGAGGGCGCGGTCCAGAAGGTGGCCGTCGCCGCCGCCCCAGCCCTGGTGGCCTCCCCCCACTACTAGAGCTGGCTCCAACGACTGACGAAGAATCGATGGAATGACACTCGCTCAACTGTTAATGTTATTTGTGTACAAATAAATTATTTTCTTAATTACCTGCAAAAAAAGAACTTTCGCTGCGAATTTTACGACTTACAGTTAAAGGCTACAAGCAGTACATCTTTCCTTTAACAGGAAAAGAGCATTGCACTTCATGTATTTGACTCTGCCCTGCCCCCCTATGACATAGACCACCCATCGCACAGCAGACCGTTAGGTGAAGTCCTTCATCGCGCTGTGTCGCTGTACCGCGCCTTCAAGTATGCAGCCCATCACACACGTCTCTGTCCCCTCCCCCCCTTTCCCCCCTTCCCGTGGCGCTAATAGTTCTTCCGTTCTTTTCCTGATAGTTACATTTATCACTTCAGCAAAATTCTTTACTTCTCCCGTTTTCGACTAGAATTTAATGCATCTTTTCGTATGTTCTGCCCCACTGGCGAAACACTTTTATCCTGAGGCATGAGAAATTGGGATAATGCTCTGATCTTTTCAAAATGACCCGCCGCTGACAGGCGAGGCGGGCCGCCCGGCGCCGCGTGTTGGGCGATATAATCCGATGTCTTTAGCAAGTCGTCTTCCGCGCGGCTAGCGCGGCACTGCATCGTTATTGGATGAAAAATCGTGCCAGCATGCCCATTGCTAAATGTAGTGCGCTGGACCACGTCTAGCCATCTCGTCCCTTGAGTAAGTTGCGGCTATTTTTCTCGGGAAGCCCCTATGTTCTCTAAAATATTGTGTGAAATAGATGAAGACGAAAAGAAATTGCATAGACATGAGGTTACTTTTAGTGTAATTTACTTGTACATTCTCCTGCAAAAACAATCATGGTCACGATTGAATCAGATTCCAGCTCTGCTTATTCTAGTAGAAAGAGAAGGTGAGCTTGTAATAACAAACAAGATGCTCCTAATATATCTTTCGCCTCCCGGAGATACTTTTCAACTCGTGAACTCCTTTCAATTTGGATGATTCGGGTGGGAATGCTTGTTTAGTTGGTTTGTTAGGAAGCGAGTAATAAGTTAATGAAAAAGTAAAAGATATTGTTCTACTGCTTTACCTTCCTGATCTCAGTTTTTTATCATGGGAATTTAGGGAGGCCCACCCCACGGGTCTCCTCTCTGTTCGACTTATCCTGGTCCTCGCGAGTCACGAGGTTCCCACCCGAATAGTTTTAGGCGATGGTTATCGCTGGGCAGCGCGTCACACCATGGGTCTTGAGAGCATCGAAACTGTTGCCGCCTGGCGGTTACGATTTAAATTACTGGACAGACTTTGAAGTTTTAACAAGAAGCAGGGTAGGCAGCATCGTCTTCGGTCATGTATCTATTTCTATTTCACACACACACGCATACACACACACAATGAACATTGTGTTTCAACGCAACTCATCCTCTTTTGTTATGCGCACGTCGTTGCAAAAATGTGTAATTATGTCCCCCTAGGCGCCAAGCATTGCAGCAGCGCGTCCTGACTACACCAGCAGAGAGTCCTCTACACTCTTAAGTTGTATTCTGGTAAGGTTCTTGTCACTTACATTATCGAAGGCATTTTGAGAACGCCCCCCCTATCCTACTGTCCTGGTTACTGCAAGCAGCACACGCATGCCGTGGCGTGACCCCGTATTTGACTGCCACACCCCGCCCCGCCCCCGTGTGAGGTCGTGATGGTCCTGTATGCCCGCTGGACCCCAGATCTGGCGGCCTCCACAGAGATGCGCGGTCTAGATGATCCCAAGCAGATAAAAGTGACGTTACCCTCTCTCGCGGCGGGGACTGGAATTAAAACAATGAATGCTACTTGAGCTCCGCCCGCAGCCGCCGGTGCAGCCAATGGTGTGTCATGAGTGCGGCTGGCGAGGCAGAGCTACTAAGCCCAAACGTCTCCGCAGGGTCGGAGGTCAGGTATGGCAGATATTAAGCCCTCATTAATCTCAACCGTTGC